CTGCCTGGTGGCTGTAAGGGGATCCACACAAGTGGCACAGTAGGAGACCTCCGTGTCACAGGGCCCTCCTGGTCCCTAACTGTCTTCCCTCTGGTTGCCATGGTGAAGGTTCTCTATCTTGTGATGTAACTGAGCTCACCAAGGCCATAGGTTGTGAAACTCGCATGTCCCACTTGCGACCCCACACCCCACAAATCCCCTTTCCTCCAATGGCAGGCTGTGGGCATTCTTGGCAGTGCCTTTGCAGTTTTCTAGTGGATGGGAAGCTGGGAGGGAGGGGCCAGCAGGTAATGACCTGTTTATGGTCCTCAGCTGGCCCCAAAGAGCCACCCCCTCCTCAGAATGGCGATAAGCAGCACAGAGATTGCAGTGAGATTTGGTTGAGTCCCAATCCTCTATTCCTGACATCACTCACTTTCTGGAAACGATTCCCTGACTGGTGGGTTAGGGAGGCCTGGAACTATGAGTCTGTGTCTATTAATTTTAGTGATTGTAAGGGGGCCAGCTAGAAACAGTTCACCTGTGTGTGCAAGGCCGTGGCCATTCTCCTTTGTGGTGGTGACCATTCTGCTCTTGTCCTTTAAGGAAAGTCTGTCTGGTCCACACGCAATCAGCAGCTGCTCCAGCTTTCTGGTGGCTGGGATCCCAGACCCAATTCCTTTGCGTTATTAGCTATCACTTTTCTTAAGTCAGCTGATTTCTAGACAAGCAAACGTGGCTAGAGGCGGGCAGGGCTCAGAGTGGGCCAGGTGGGCGACAGGAGCTCGGCCTTTTCCCGCGGGCCCTGGTGCGGTCCCTGGCGCGGTCCCTGGCAGAGGCACCAGTGGAGCCCTGGCCGGGAAGTGCTTCTAGACCAGAATGTGGCCTGTTCACCGGCAGCTGCTCACATGTGGGGCCAGCGCTGCCCACGTGGCTAAACGCTAGGTGCATCTTGGTAAACTTCTGTGTTCCACCTGTCCCGGGAAACCCTCTACTGCCCCGAGGGGGTGCCCTTGTTCAGATGGGAGGAGTCAGCACAAACCAGGCAGCTCCTAGCGGACCTCACTTTCCTCTGTGCGCCACCCCCACAGCTTCTGAGGCCCCTTCCGGCCCCAGGCATCTCACAAGCCCCCTGCCCACCGGTGAGACAGGCATGGAAGCTTCTCGAATGATAAAGTCCAGAACTCTGAACTTCGGTCACTTGGCAGCACCAAGGATGTCTGTTCTGTGTCTAACCAGCACATCGCAGTAACTCCTTTCTTCACGCTCCAGATCTCTCATGGTCAGGAGAAAGTTCTCCTGAAGCACTAAAAACTTCGGGGCTGTAGCCAGTGACCTTTTCCTCCCGCTTCCTCTTTAGTGCGCAGTAGAGGGGCTGGTTCTCTCCTTCACTTGCTCACGGGCCATTAGCGGGAGGAGGTGTTCCATTCTCTGAGCTCTAATGAGCCCAGGAATGGGAGGAGGAGGGCCTGTGGGGGCGATTTAATCTGAAATCCAATGGCCCAGTTATTCTAGTGGGTTTTACGCAGGACCCCAGGGCCCACAAGTGGGCGTCCTGTGGCAGTCGGTACCTGCAGTGGCAGGAAGGTGAGGAGGGAGGGAGAGGGGGAGAAACCTTGTGGAGAGGAACCCTGCCAGTTGCTTTTGCTCATCACAATGGCCCTTAAAATAGTCAGACCCGGGCAGTAGTCCGTGCCTGCTCTGTGGTTTGTAGTTTTAGGGGCTTAAATCACACTCCTGCAGCTTTTACAGTTAATCCAAAATGTCCTGGAGAAAATATTTGGCTAGGCTGTGGGCAGCTTGATGGCCTATTTCCATGTGGTGATGGGAAGGTCCTGTCTGCTAGTTTAGGTACCAAATGGCCAAGGGGACCAGGTGGCAATCTGAGGACAAACCTTGTACAAAAATAGCAGGCCTGCTCTGCATGTCTGTTGCCAAATATGTTGGGTATTCACTCATCAGTTCATTTTTTTACTAACTCATCCATTCCACCTACACTCATGATCTACATAACATATCTCTCCTCTGCAAATGTGTCCCATACACAGCCCTTGGCTGGGGCTCCACCACTTTGATTATAGGCTCTGATGGTTCTTTGTTTCCTGTGTCCTTTGTGTTGAAATGGAAGAATTGTCTCTTCTCTTTCTTGCCTCCTCTGGATCCTGTGCCCTTCTCTATTGGCTCTTTTCCAACATCATTCAAACCTTTTCCCTCTTAAAAAGCTCCTTTGGGATCCCTAGCCTCCCCAGTTGGGACTCTTCCCTCTGCTCCCGCTCCCAGCCCAAATGTGCCAGGATTGTCTCCCCCACCCCCCTTTCTACAGAGGTTTGGCTGCCAGCCTTCCACGCCCCAGAAACTGCTCTCCTGACCTCCAGGTAGATAAACCCAAGAGCCACTCTCTATCCATCCTTGTTCCCTGAAGATTGTGTAAGCCCTTGTCCCAGAACTCTCCGGAGTCCTGCCTATATGCATGTCCAAGAGCACCCCCACCTCTGTTTTTAGAACCCACCCTTTTTCTCTCACGCTGGCTGACCTGGTTTCTCTAACTTGGGACCAGAGGCTCCTTGCAACCTTCCCCCCTCTCCTTCCTCTTTCTTTCTTTCTCTCTCTCTCTTTCTCTCTCTCTTTCTTCCTTCCTTCCTTTCTTCCTTCCTTCCTTCCTTCCTTCCTTCCTTCCTTCCTTCCTTCCTTCCTTCCTTCCTTCCTTCCTTCCTTCCTTCCTTCCTTCCTTCCTTCCTTCCTTTCTTTCTTTCTTTCTTTCTTTCTTTCTCTTTCTTTCTTTCTTTCTTTCTTTCTTTCTTTCTTTCTTTCTTTCTTTCCCTCTCTGCCTGCCTCTCTCTTCCTCTCCTCCTCCTCTTCTTTCTCTTTTTCTCCTCCCTCCTTCCTTTCTAGTCTTTGGGCTGCAGAGAGGCGGAGTGCTGGGAGCAGGCGCTCCAGGCTGCAGCAATCAGCATCCTCCCTTTGGGTTTCCTCTGCAGCCCTGGGTTCAGCTCCTCTCAGGACAGCCGCCGGGAGAGGGGCCTCCAGAGCCTTCTCTCTGGCCCCCATAGGACACGCTCCCTCATGCAGATCTGCCTCTTTGAGCTAATAAATGTACTTTTCTTGTGTTCCCAAGTTCAAAACCACCACCTGGGCAATGGAATAAGCACTTGTTTTTACATACTTACATCTAGGACCATTTTCACTTATATGTTTGTACCTATGGCGTTTCCCCAACAGATCCTAAAGCGACATCAGCTCCCGCGGAGGGTCCTATTGTCTGCACGGTGCCGAAGTGCCACAGCATGCATGTCTATACCCGTTACGTACAGAATAGAGCCACAGTCGTGCAGTTTTAATGAAAGAGGAAGGAAACAAAACCATTTAAAACACTTTGCTTGATCAAAATTATAAGGCCCCATACTTCAGATTTGCTAATCCTCCTGGAAGAAAAGTAGTACAGTAAGGAAGCATGCTGAGTTTAGTCTCTCTTTATCGAAAATGTTTCCTTCTTTCTTTCTTTTTTTTTAAGGAGTTTAATTTGAGCAGCAGCATCAGCAGCCTTGTTTTAATTACAGTCTTCATTTCTGTGGCCAGCCGTAGGGAGCTCGAGAGAGCCATAGGGCGAAGTGGCCGCTGGGTCCAAGCGGGGGCAGCCTTCTGTCCGGGAGGATTTCAATTGCTTTTATCTGGTTTATTTTTTCTCTCTTTTAGTAAACGTACACTTCAAACACGGCCGGAACAGTTGGGTTCCCAGAGCGGTGCTTGGTGTAAAAGCCCACCCTTATTTATTTTTCCATGACAAAGCTTCCTTTGCGTCCTTGTGGTGTTGGTTTCCTGCCCTCCCCATGCCCTGCTGGCCTGTTGACTTAGGAGAATCAAAGATGTTGGCACAAAAGGAGAAAACAGGGCACAGGCAGGTGTGGCCTTGGTAGCTGACAGGTCAACGTGCCTTTGGGGTTCCATCAGCTGCTGCCCACGGACACCCGCCCACCACAGTCTTCACATCCACAATCCTGCCTCTCCCAGCCCTGTGTCCCCCTGAGGACGTCTTCAGGTCGCATCCAGCACGCCGACTCCATGGTCCATCTACTCGGGCCAGATGTCAGCTGTCCCTCGTCCTCCGGCCTGGGCAGTGCCTGTGTTTCTATCCTGCGCCACTTGGGAGCAGACTGAGGAGGAATGCCTTCGCACCATCGTGGTAGTGAGCAGAGGAGGACTTACAGATGCTGTCAGTGGGGAGGCAGACACAGGGGCTTACATCACAGCTACCTACTGCAAGGCCCATTTTAGATGTTCGCTTCTCTAGAATCTTCTGAGAGTTTTTCTACCTCCCGACTCCCCAGGCAGTGCCTGATTTGGGTCCTTTCCTCGTTCATGCATAGCAAAGCGGCTTTGCCCAGCTGCTAGTCCCCAACTTGCACCAAAACATGTAGACCAACGTGAAGCAAAGGGTTACGGGCTTACCTAGACCCACTTTCCGTAAAAGACAGTTTTACAGTCATCTCTGATAATTACGTCACTCACATGAGTGACTTATCAAAATATTTATTTCAAAGTGATTTCTCCAAGAGAAGTAATCAAATAAGAAGTTCTTTTTTATTATTGAATTTTTAATTAGTGGTTGTAAATGTTGTGTCATATTTAACACTCATTAGACTCCCCTCCTTTGGGTTCCTGGGAACATCACACTGTCTGTTTATGTGTTCAGGGAATTCTTTTTAATTCCCGGTCTACGCCAAGCAGGAGTCGGGAAAGCTGGCTGGGCAGCTTTTGGGGAGAACAAATGGACAGAGGCCATGTGAGGGAGTAAGGCGGCTGCTCTCCATACCCCATCCTGGCGTAGCAATCTTGTACCTTTCTGTCATCTGAGAGGGCATCTTCTTGGCTCAGACCTTTGGGGTGACCCCAATGGAGGTCCCCTTGGTCAGCATGTGGCATCCTCTCTGCTCTACTAGCTATTTATTTCCTTCCCACACAATTTTTCTGCACTTTTAACTCCTTCCTCTTTCCCCAAGACTCCTTCTCCACACGCCACCCCAGCCTCCACCAGAATTTGAGACATTTCAAGTTTCCTCTACTGTCACGTGAGCATTTACCGCCGCTGGGTACCGTGTGAGCTGGACACACCATCCATTCAGTGCCTGGTGGAACGGAAGGGGTGGGGCGGTGGTGACTTTCTGCTCTTAGTTGCAGCTGTCTCTTCCTTTTCTTTACCTTAAGTTCCTAAAACCAATCCAATATATCTCAAATTGCAAGGGCTGATTTCGGCCATGAGCCCTCATCGGTTTCACATGTGAGCCTCAGAGCCTCTCTGCTAGCATAACATTGACCTTATGCTGCAAAAAGTTCTCCACATCGCACCCCTGCCCTTCCGGGCGTTGGGTTACCTTGTGAAGCCTTCTTCCATTAATTTGGCTCTGAAGGGCCCCATGTCCAGCTCCTCTCTGGCCATAGGAGAGGGGTGAGGGTTGGGGCCAGGCAGTGCTGCCAGGTTTAAGATTGGAAATACTCAGAGGTGGTCTTCTCTGAGACCTGCTGGTTTACAGACAGACGAGAGGCCTGAGGCTTGGAGAGATGACGTGATTTGCCAACAAATTAGTGGCAGAATTGGGAGTGGAATCATCCCATCTGAATCTCCAGCCCCTGCTCATTCAGTCCCTTCCACATTGCAGGCAGGCACACTTCTTATTTTTATTATTTTTATGTCATGTTTCGCTCAATATTTTTTAAAAAACTGAATTGGTTTTAGAATACAAGGATTGTTTTGAATGTTATTATATATTTAAGACCAGTTTTTTAAAATTCTTATCCCCCACTCTCTCCCCTTTGGCACCATCAGTTTGTTCTCTATATCAATGGTTCTGGGTTGTTGTTTTTTTATTGATTTTGTTTTTTTTCAGATTCCACATATAAGTGAGATCATACAATATTTGTCTTTATCTGACTTATTTCACTTAGTGTAATAGCCACCAGGTCGCCCCCCCCCCCATGTTGTCACAGATGACACAATTTCCTTCTTTTTAATTGTTGAATAATACTGTTATATATACTTACAAACTCTTCTTCATCCATTCATCTACTGATGGACAGGTAGGTTACGTTCATATCTTGGCTATTGCTAGTAATGCTGCAATGAACATAGGGGTGCATATATCTTTTTGAATTAGTGTTTTTGTTTTCTTCGGATAAATATCCAGAAGTGGAATTCCTAAATCTTATGCAAGCTCTATTTTTAATTTTTTGAGAAAGCTCCATACTGTTTTCTGTAGTAGTTACACCAATTTATAATCCCACCAACAGTGCACAAGTGATCCCCTTTTCTCACATCCTTGCCAGCATTTCTTATTTTTTAATTTATTGATGATGGCCATTCTGACAGGTAACAGGTGATATCTCATTGTGGTTTTACTTTGTACTTCCTGGATAGTGACGTTGAACATTTTTCCATATGTCTGTTGGCCAACTGTATTTCCTCTATGGAGAAATGTCTATTCGGTTTTCTGCCCATTTTTAAATAGGATTGTTTGATTTTTGGTGTTAAGTTGTATGAATTCTTTATATATTTTGGGTATTAACCCTTTACCAGATATATTATTTGCAAATATCTTCGTCCATTCAGTAGGTTGTCTTTTGGTTTTATTGATGGTTTCCTTTAGTGTGCAAAAACTTTTTAGTTTGAGGTAGTTCCATTTGTTTATTTTTCCTTTGTTTCCTTTGCTAGAAAAGATATAGCCAAAAAGATATTGCTAACAATGTCAAAAGCTTACTGCTTACATTTTCTTCTAGTAGTTTTATGGTTTCAGGCGTAACATTTAAGTCTTTAGTTCATTTTGAATTTATTTTTGCATATGGTGTAAGAAAGTGGTACAATTTCATTATTTTGGATGTATTTGTCCAGTTTTGCCAGCATCACTTGAAGCATAGGCACTCCATCTTGTTCCCGTAACCTTTATGTTGTAAAAACTGCTATTTGAAATTTTCCACTAAAATGGTCCTCCGTTCTGTGAATTAACTCTGATATTCTTGGCTTCTGTAAACATGCTTGCTTGAATAATAGGGAAAATGAGCTCACTTATCTGGTCCTGAAAGACCCGTTTACCCAAAGTACTACCCCCGTTTTAGAGAGGCCATAAATCATGAACAATACACAACCCCCAGACAGAGTTATCAATACTGGCACCAGGCCAGGCCTTGAGATATAGTCTCACTGCCCTCATCCCAGCACATAGGGCTTTTTGCAAAGCCTGTGAAAGGTCCAGAAGCCCCATCCCATATTTGGGAGACAAAGACACTAGGAAAGTATAAAGGGAAAGTTTTCTCCATGTTATTTTGCTCAGACTTTGAGAGGCAACTCCTCTGAGACCCTGGCATAATACAGACTCCAAATGTGGCTTACTGATTAAGGCGTCCTTTGTTTAGGTCGCTGATTCCCAATATAACACACTTGTAATTGAGGATTTATTTCTGGGCTCTCTATTTTTTTCTATTGAGCTACAGATCTGTTTTTATGCCAGTACCATACTGTTTTGATTATTGTAGCTTTGTAGTATAATTTTACTTCAGGGAGTGTGATACCTCCCACTTTGTTCTTTCTCAAGATTTCTTTAGCTATTTGGGGTCTTTTGTGGTTCCATATAAATTTTAGAATAAGCTGTTCAGACAGGCACACTTTGAGGGCCAGTCAGCACTCAGAGTCTTCAAATGAGGTGGACTTGTCCTTTGACACCCTGTCAGTGGTACCTGGCCTCCTCTGACATTTTTGTGGGGAACATACCATCTGCAGAGGCATCACACACACCTGTGTTAACACGACTTTCCTTTATAGCAGGGACGGGGAACCGTTTTCTGCCAACAGCCACTTGGATATTTATAACATCATTCTCAGACCATACAAAATTATGAACTTAAAAATTAGCCTGCTATATTTGATCAAACATTTCATTAACTCACCACTAGTGCTTTGGCAGCCAGACCAAATGATTTTACAGGCCTTATAAGGTCACGGGCCTGACGTTCCCCACCACTGCTTTATAGAAATGAAATTTGTCTTTCTGTTGCTTTCACCACGATGCTCCACCTCTCAGGGTCAATACAGAGTCATTTTGATCCCTCCTACCATGCCAACAGTTCTCATGGGAAGCTGGAGGTCTGTCCCTTCCATTTTCTCTTCTCCAGGGGAAACAACCCTGATTCTGACACCAATTTCGTTGTGTTTTCCCTCCCACACCACCAAGCAATTAACCCTAGTCTGATACTCTCTACCTGAAGATAGTATCATCCCACAGGTTAAGGGTTCACTGGGCCCCACACAACTACTTCCCCCCCCCCGCACCCCCCCACACACTTCAGATGTCAGTAGAAAGTCTGCTTCTGACCAATCGGCTTTAGATGGGCGGTTCCCATGACCCTCTCCTCAGGTCTGGTTAATTTGCTAGAGCAGCTTACAGAACTCAGGAAAACAGCACACTTACCAGATTACCAGTTTATTATGAAGGAATGGAACTCAGGACCATCAGATGGAGAAGATGCACAGGGCAGGGTGTAGGAAGGGCACGGAGTTCACGCTTTCTCCAGGTGCTCCACTTTCCCCAAAACCTCCACGTGTTCAGCAGCCTGGAAGCTCTCGGGACCCTTACACTTTTAGTTTTTATGGAGGCTTCATTACTTAGGCATGAGTGATTAAATCATCAGCCACTGGTGGGACAGGAAGTTCCAACCATCTAGCCACTGGTTCCCCTGGCAACAGCCCCCACCCTTTGGTTACCTAGGGGTTTCC